TTGAAAAGGTAGAGCAAAGACTGTGAAGTCTGTAAGTAAGTGGCAGACAAAACCAAAGAGAACTGATCTTCTCCTCTGTCCAGAAAACAAAGGAGATGCACTGACCAGTAAATAACCTTGTCCTTAAAATAAGGAGGATATTTCACTGAAAATACACAAGGAAAACATTCCCAAGAGCCACTCAGAAACACCAGGTTTTATTGATGGAATGTTAGGAATTGTAAATCGTGGCGTTGCAGGTGTGAGGGAAGCGAATAGAGCCGTCCTCCCCCTTGGTTAATTGAATTCAACAGAGTCATCACTGGGGGCTGCTGTGCTTTGTGGATTGCACAGCCTTCAGGGGAGACTTCAGCACAGCAAGGCACACACTGATTCCTGTAAGTAGGAGTGAATCCAGAGTAACTCGAGTCTGGGAGAGGAGATGTGGGATGTGTATTTATTTCCTTGAGTGAATGAAATGAGAAAATTCCCACCTTCTCCTTCAGTGTATCATCAAAATCATAGTCAAGCATATGCTGGTTTTGCCTTTGTGTTTTATTATTTTTCATCACATTCTTTCTGTCACCAAAAGGTAGCTCAGAGACAGCATTGTGACACAGCTGAGTGGAGTCTGGGTATCAAAACCCACACATTTCCTCAATAAGGGAGAAGTGTGATCTGCCTCTCTGATGGAAACACACACTTCCCCAAGCCCCAAAGAGGCTTTTCCTAACTTTATGCCTGGTGGCAAGAAGACTGTCAAGTGTTGGACTCAGTCAATCTGGTCTGATGGTCCTGCCAGGGATCAGGCACAAAACGTAGGGCCGACAAAACCCCAAAAGCTTGGGGAGAATGGGAGGTTCAACAACTTCAAAAACCCAAACCAGGGAGAGCTGAGGCACTGAAGTGCTGCCACAGGGAATTTTGGGCAGTGGCAATGTGACAAGGATTGCTGGAGAATGTGCTGGGCAAGGGCTGAACCTCCACAAAAACTCCTGCACTGTTTATAACATAATTGCGTGCTTTATTGATATACACAGTAAAGCAGTATATAATACAATAGTAAGGCATATATTTGGTGAAATTTGGTATGTTGTGAAAAAAAATGCAGTAAAACAGAAGTTTATAAAAATAATTAGTAAATGTTACAGTGTTGGTGTTAAAACACAATATATTATGATATCCAAGTAATAAACCAGTACCGAGTAACGATGAAATAACATGCCATATGGTATTTATGTATTCAACTACACTGATTATGTTTTACAGTTTAATACTTTGTCATTATAAGGAATATGAAATAATTCCCAAATTATGCTTAAAAAAGCAGCAATAAAGCTTTCAACTTTTTAAATACTTTTTGACAGACTCACTCCAAAACTAAGATCTAGAAAGTAAAACAAACAAAACAAAACCCTGATGAAAACAATCGTGCAATCTGTTTTTCCTCCATAATTTTTCTGAAGAGAAGGTTTAATGTATAAGGGGGGAAAGAAGAAACCCATCTCTCTCTCAAATCGCAATTTAAACCTTCTGATAAAAAAGGCCATGAGAAATAGTGAGGGTTCCTATTGTAATCAAGTGTTAAAAAAGCTCTTTATTAGTAAAGCAGAGGTTTGGGGGGATTGTACTTGTTTTTGTAAATGATTTACATTGTTATTACTTAAACAATGAGACCTGGTCACACAATGGACACGTGGTGATGATGTAACATTGTCATATGTAATTGTCAGGAACACCACAAAACCAAAGTGAGGTAGAAATAGCATGAGTAGCCATGTTCAATGTTAACTAGCATTCAAAATAAAATCTTTCCCAAGTTTAATTACACTTCATACAAGAAGAGGTAACAGATTTTTTACTCTTGCAATATAAAGTCAGATGGTCATGTTTCTACGTATTTTAAGGTAAAATTAAAAGCTGGTTAAAAAAAATGAAGTGGTAAAGCTTTTACTGACAGCACCTCATACCCAAACCTCTCTCTCACGAGCTGCAGTCATGCTGGCTAATCTGTTTCTTTATCAGCTCTTCTCTTTCTCATGTTATTGTTAATTGTGCTGGGGTTACTCATACAGAGAAATGGGGAAGGAATACGGGGCCTTTGTTTTGGTGATAAATACTCTTGGAGCAGTGTGACTACCTTCACCTGATCACCTTTCGAGGCAAGAACAGCAGTAACTCTTCCACAGCCTTTCCCAAAGGCCACTGTCAGCACCACAGCTCCTCAGGACCGGCTGCTGCAGCAGAGTGAGACACCAGGGTGAGATACCCAGAGTGAGAAGCTCTGGGCTCCTCTGCCCCAGGGTCGAGCAGCTTCACGCTCATCAGCAGCCCTGGGAGCTGTTCAGTGCTCTGGGGGGATCCACTTGTGCTTTGGGTCAGAGCTGACCCCACAGGGGCTGGGGGAACGTGTCCCTCTGCTCTGCTCTGCTCTGCTCTGCAGCAAAGGTGACACAGGAGGGACAGAGAGCTGTCCCCAGCCCTGCTGACCCACCGGCCACCAAGCCCCAGGGCACAAACCAGTAAGGCAATGTCTATGTTCCTTTATTAATAGTATCCAAGAATTTAGTCAGCAGAGGAAACACTGGCACACAGGATGGTCATTAAATTCTTTCCTTTCCTTCCTTCTTCTGAATTTTCTTTATTTTTATTTTTTTTTTTTGTTTTTTTGCAGGCTCTGTCATGTAATGTGCTCTTTCATTTAATTATTGCAAACTAGCTGTGTAATTGCTAGTTGCTGTCCAAGATCAGGACAGTAAATCATGTAATTCTTAATTTTATTAGAAAGATATGACATAACTACCTTCATTGGAAGTTCAGGTTTTTTGGTTATTTTTTCTAAGCCAGCCCTAGTCAGACAAAACCAATGAGAAATGTAAGGTAGCTGTTTTGGTGTCACTGCAGGAAATACTTTTTTTTTCTTTTTGATAGGCAAGTAAAAGAACACAGGACATGAATCTCTCTGATGCAGTTACAGAGCTGAAATGAAACTAAACAAATGCACTGCCTCAGTATATTTTTTTGTGTTTTTTTTTAAGGGGGTTTCTATAAACAATTATTTTTATAAAGCACACTTTAGTTTACAATCTTTCATTATAACTGTTATAAATTTTTTTTTAAACAACCCGAAATGCGTTCCATATAAAGAAATGGCAAGTTATTTAGCTATCAAGATTTTACATGTAGTTTTCTTATAATTTTTGTACAATTGCATAGACGTGTAAAACCTGCCATTGTTAACAAAACAGTAACAGACTTAGGAAACTACTGAAATCTACAGTATAGTACCACTACCCTTCACAAAAATATAGATTTGTTTTCTTGTAAACTCTTACAGTCTAATCCTCTTTGTAGTATGAATATTATAAAAACCATGCGGAACGCCTGAAGTTGTAAAACACATCTTGCTATTCTAACACCTTGTCGTCGGTCATCACGGTCACTAAGGTTTCCATTGCTCTTCCCAGGTCGTCTGCCATGTGGAAAAGGCTCCCTACATTGTGGCCTGAAAAAGAAAGTCAGAGAGGGAATTAAATGAAGAGGACACAGCAGCATGTTGGTAGGAAAACTGTACAGATCTGTCACTCTCTGTGTGCTGCTCGCTGCCATCCCCAGAGGAGACTCCAACAGTCATTAGCCAAAACTGCCAAGGGTGCAGAACATTTTATCAGCAATACTGGCTTGAATGGCTATGGCAAACCATGCTGGCAATAAACCACCACCCCCCATGGTGATGAAGCTTCATTATTATCAATGTTCACCAAAACATTATTATCAATGTTCACCAAAAGCAACAATCAATTCCATTGGCATCACAGAAAAGCTTCTGACTGATGCTGCATTGAGCATTCAATGTTCTGTCAAGGAGAAAAAGAGAAACAAACATATCAGCAGTAATTAATTAAATCATTAAAGCCAAAAGGTCCCAGCAGGATACCTGCAAAGATAGATATACTGATGACCAAACTAGGCAGCTCAGCATTCAATCATTTTAAAAATAACCTTTCCTTTTTGGACAACAGTCCAGCAGAAACAAAGATGCCACAGGTATCATCTAACTACTATGCAGTGGTTCCCTTATGCATTTTCCCTCACCCATAACCACTCTGGGGCCCTAAGGTGGTACAACCACAACCTCCTAAAAAGAAGTGATGAATAAACATACAGTGCAATTCTGGAGATGAAATCTGCAACTTCTCACACTCATGTCATCAGTGCAGCAAATGGTGATGAGCAGTAAGAAATGGCATCATCTTCAGTTAGAGACCAAGTAGACTTGAGGATGGGGAGACTGAACTGCCCAAAACTGCCATTTTAGCCCCTGGCACACCCTGTCTGGTCTCCACTGCTGTTCAGCAAAGTGTCTCTCTCTTGCAAGTCCTGTGTGAGATTTGCAGATCTCTGTGACTGTCTCAAATACCCTCTGGCACCTCAAATGACAGAGACAGCATGGTTTAAACAGCTGGACCTTATCTGGAGTCCCCCTCCTGAAAAAATATGACTGGAGAGGGAATATGACCAAGATCTGGGTACCCTACAAGATGAGTGTCCAAACCAAGGACTGAATGTTCAAGGTTTCTTGCAAGGACAAGGAGGAAGGAGCAGACAGAAGGTTTTAAAACAAGCAGAAGGAAATTATGCTCCACACAGCACATAACTGTATTACTGAACTCACCGCCACAGGCTGAAGTTGAGGCCAAAAACATAAATGAGTTAAAAAGAGGAGTTAGAAAATAATCGCTGGAGGAAGATTTATTTACATGCAAAGAAGTACACGTGACCTCCAACTCAAGAAGACTCCATGCTGCAGAGTGCCAGCAAGAGCATTTATAACAGGTGAAGTATTACTCAATAAAATTGTACATCACCCTGGCCTGAGGGGCATTGATTTACTCTCTGGGAGCACTTGTGATAGAGTATTTGTCTGGAGACACACAGGAAGTGCCATCCCATCTGCCCACAACTCCTTCTACATTCACCTACTAGTTTTTTAAAGTTGTTAGATTTTTCTTTTCAAATTTGGCATTCATTACACAAAACCAGGCTGGATCTCAATGAGAACTATTCAAGAAACTGCCCATTTGACAGTGAGCTGTGCTGTGACACAGCTTGCCGGATATCAGTATAAAAAAATACGTGGTTTTGGTATCTGGTGACAGTGTGCTAACTGCACTAATGTGCTAAGAAACAGATGCATCAATCAGCAATTTCATCCATAAATCATAAATGTATAGCCATCCTATTCATCTGAAGCAAAACCTTGTAATTTGTTCATCAGCATGACAAGTAACTACGCATGAAAGATTCCTGCCAAGTTCTGGTCAAAACATAGTTTATTTTAAAGTAAATGTATCCTACCACATTTATTTTAGAGGTAAGTGATAATCTCTGTCACTGGCATCATTCAGACTGAGATCAATCCAGCAACTTACACCATCACAAGTGAAAATCTGACAAAGCTATTTGAAATCAAGAATATACAGGATGTGCTTGTACAAACTGAAGCACTGGACTGCTCTACTTGCCCAAAGCTCTGAATGGCTTTATGGGAACACAGCCCTCTGGCATAACCAGAGTGGTGCTGTGACTGGGTAGCTGTGAGAGGCTGACCATGGGGTCATGGGCTCTCATTCAGATTTATTGTGATCTATTGTTCCTGGGAAACTCCAGGGCTCTTCAGGATTTCAACACTGTCCATTCCCAGGAAGACAGATCACCCTTTTGTAGGCTTAGAACAACCCAAACTGCTAAACTGCATCCTCAGAAATTAATATTATTTTGTTCTGCCAATAAAGGGCAGATCCAGAAAGAATAACTTCAGCCAAAAACACACACACAAAAACTTTCAGATGTATGCCACAGCAGGTATAAACTGTTAAATTGTTCAGGCAATTAGAAGATCCAATTTATGGATCCACAAATCCCTAGGTACTTCTTAATACCTAAAAATTACAGAAATGTCTGACAGTATTTTTTTTTTCTTTTCTCTGTTAATTGATACATATTTTTGAAATAGCCATGCTTCAAATCTGATCTCCCTCCTCAAAAGCTGCACAGATGCAAGGAAATACAGTTCCCTCTCCCATACAACATCCACACTTCCTCTCTAGCACAGGTCTTAATTTCCTCTGCATAAAAACTGAACAATTGTGTGTTCTCCGGAGCTGTCTGGGTTCAGAGCTCAGAGCAGGACCATAAAGCACGGCTGACTGCAGTTTGTGGTGACAGCTGGACTGAAAATGCAGCAGCAGGGGGACCACAGTCTCTGGGACAGGTTTGGGATGGCAGGACAGGTCAGAGGAGCAGGTGATGGCTGTGCTCCAGCTACACCAGTGGGGATCCTCAGCTGGGTGTCACTGCACTGCCAGCAGGAATTTTGCCTCTTCTGGACGTGGGAAAAACAGCCAGGTCAATCGAGACTGCAAAGAGCTGAGAACAAAATATATTATAATATCCTGGTACTGTGTGTGCAATGAGTGCACCCCTTTCTGTAATGTCTGTACCTAAATTAGTGCTCAAGTTCTCTGCTTCCATAGGGCTCTGCTGCTCCCACTGAATGCTGCTCACTCACCATTTCTAGTTCTGAAATGTAGGACATTGACATTTTTAATTAAGAAGCAAATGACAGAAATACTGCAATACTGTCCTAAAAGCACTTAAAAAAAAGACAAATCAGAACTTTCCAWTATTATTCATATTTCTAAAGTAACRTCATCAAAGAAGGCATTAATTCCATTTTTTTTTGACTGAAGCTGAAAAAGTCTTCACCATGCTTGAGGCACTGAAAGGTTGAAAAATGCTTCTGAGTAAGAAAAAAAGTAGCAGACACTTTGAAATGCAGCAATAAAGCTCAAAATGGACATAGACAGTATTAACTTCAACTTATAAAATCCACAGCTGCCATTTGCTTGGGAAGCAGAAGACACCTCTTTCTGCAGACATTAACTACATCACTTCTGGTCACAGAGAATGCTGTGTTTCACATCTGCTGAATTTGCTTTAGAGACTCATGGAATTAAGGCCCATGGGTGTGGGCACAGGAACAGAATACCAATCTTATACTACAACTTGTCAGAGAAATAAATGTGGAGCATTCAGACTTGAAAGAGTGGACAGAAAATAAATTGGGAAATCCCAACACAGTGCAGTGCCTTTTCTAGCAGAAGAGATTTCTAACCCTTTCCTGACAAAAGGAAAATCCTTCCTGTGGGAGACTTGGATTTTGATACCCTTATTCATATTGAGTAATGCCAAGAAATCCATGGGATAACACACAAAGACAATACCTAATGTGCGTAACGGGATCAAAACCTGGACAGGAGGGTTTCAAACCACATGATCTGCCTTTGCACAAAGAGATTCACACCTAAAGCAAAAGCTGTTCTATACCTCAGCTCAAACACTTCAAATCCACATGGACAATTGTGTTTTATATTCAGCTCTGCAAGTTACCAAGGCTCCTCTGGAACCATCAGTGAGCACAAACTCAGCCAGAGAGCAGAGAGTGATTCACTGAAGTCAACTTTTTAAGCTGCTGGAATCTGATCAGGTAGAAGATGGGTTTTTTTTTTTGTTTTTTTTTTTTTGTTTTTTTTTTTTTTTTTTTTTTTTTTTTTTTTTTTTTTTTTTTTTTTTTTTTTTTTTTTTTTTTTTTTTTAATTACTTGTATCAGATATACCCTCTGCAGAAGTTGTTTTGAGTAATATGTGTAAATATAAATGAGGATAGTGGACATCAATGACCTGTTTTGCTGAGTGGGAGGACAATTCTCAGAGTGTATGAGCTGAGAACAAACAGGGCTGAATGTGAAGTGTTTTCCATAAAATTTCTGGATTGGTACAGTCTGCTGATGCTGTCTCAAGCACCCCTTTTGATCCATATGAGAGGACCAGCCATTTGGGGACAGACTTCACCTGCACCAAAGATCTTTTATCATGGAGAAGCTGAGCCTGTCCCAGCACCTGCAGCCAATGCAGAGAACCCTGTATTTCAAGGCAGCACATCAGGACAAATCCAGGCTTTCCCAGGGTAGACTGGGGGTTCACAGCAGCTCTGCCAAGAACCCCAATGCCCTGAGTTTGCAGCAGCCCCTCCCCTGCACCAGCAGAGCTTTGCAAACCCTTCAATTCCTGCCTCACCCGCACCGACCGTCTTCTGTGCGGAAAGGTCATTTCACAGCTACTGCAGCTGCACTCAGGCAGTCACTGAATATTTTATCTTTAATAATAATTTTCGCTAGAAATTTGTCTTTCAAACGCTGGATATGGCTGGCGAGTGAAGAGCAGCTTCAGAGAGGAAAAATCAAGGCTCTCTGGAAATGCTTTCAAAGGAGCTGTGACAACACAGCGCGAAACGTTTCCCTCCGTTAATGAGCAGCGACACACAAATTCCAAAACCCATTCTGCATCAAACCAACCATGTCCAAAGTGCACAGTGAAAACCACGGCCCATTTGCATTGCTCAACACAGCGCTGTGGAGCTGGTGGATGTTAGTAGCATTCTTCA